CACACACACACACATATCAAATCCCAGTTTAACCCCTGCTTACAAGATAGACTTAAACTTAATAAAAAAGAAACTTAAAGTTCAAACATAAATGAAAATTCTGTCATCATTTACTCACCCTCATGTCATTTCAAACCTGTATGAGTTTCTTTCTTCTGTTGAACACAAAATAAGATATTTTGAAGAATATTGGTGAACAAACAGTTGCTGGTAGTCATTGACTTTCATAGTATCTTTTTTTCCCCCATACTATGGAAGTTAATGGCTTTGTGTTAAACAAGAAATGTTGACAGAATTTTCGTCCCAACAGTTCATCACCAGGACAAGCAGATCTCAGATCAGGTTACAGGTCGTTTGAATTAATGAATAGACTTTAATACAGTTATTAAAATCAGGTTTGATTAAAACTCATGTTTTCTTTTTCAGACAGAGGATGTTATTAAATATGACGACGACACTGTTTAAAGACTCTTTTGTGCGCCAGCAATTATATTGGATGAAGAGATCTTCTAAATTCCCTCTCTAATGGAAAATATCATCCCTCTCACCATCTGAGATGTTTTATTCTCTTTAAATAAACTTTCCACTTGCTTCAAAGAGTTTGTTTGTTGTCCTCTGTTCACTTTGCTCTTTTAGCTCATGAGACTTGTGGCATTTGCAGTGTGATTGTATTAGGCTTCTGTATGAATAACCTTTAACGTGAACAACAACGTCTACGATAAGATGATTTCTGTTGTTGCTATGGTGTTTCATCACACATGGGAAGACTCTTCCATTTTGCATTTGCTTTCATGTACATTTAAAAAAGTTTTTCTTAGCAAAGTGACTGACAAGAAATGTGTGAATGAATGTGGTTTATTGTTGTATACTTCAGTCGATTTCAATAAATTTTTAGCAACAAAAAAAAAAGATACTTTTTTTTGTTAAATAAAAAAAGTGTACTTGTGAATAGAATGTAAGTTATTGTAGGTGCTGTGGAATTACCTGAGAATTTTAACGTATCTCCTTGTCAGGTTCCTGATAAGATACACAAGTTAAATTAAAATCTCTTTTGTGAAGATGGGTTTTAGATTCTCCTTTATACATTTTATTGGCAGTCAGAAAAATATAAAGCAATCCATAGCAGGAAGTAAAACACAAAGCACCATTAAGATGACATTCACACATATGAGTGACAATCAAGGTAAAATGCACCCTTTTGTTAAATGCAAAACAATGCACACTGATTAACTGTATTACTTATTCAACAGTCCAAATCCATGAAACACAGGTTCTTCTGAACGCCCCCCATTCAAACGTTGCATTTATGGAGGCCTTGGATAGGCTATTTCATTTCACCCACGCCATCGCCATCAGTGAGCCATTTCAACATTTTTCTTCAACAGGATTCTTATACTATAACCTTTTAAAATGCTAATGGTTTGTTTTGATCACATGAGGATCTTAGGGCGACATGGAGCCATAATGTCAATGAACCCAACGTTTCCATTGAGTTATAAAATCATTATTTCTAAACGTTATCTGAACAATTAAAATTCATAGATTTTTAAATGTATTAGAAACATTTTTTCTTGGTTTTGCGAGTGTTAAGGGAACAATTCAGTTGATAATTTTGCAAACATTATGGGAACGTTACTTCTGAATGTTCTCTGAACATTTTGAAACAAGTAGTAACATTTAAAAAACAGATGAACGTGCAACTAAAACATTTCAGGGGAAAAAAAGGTTCCATGAAAAAATGTAACAATAACGTTTGTTTGTTTTTGTGTGCTAATGTTTGAGAACACATTAAAGATAACTTTTAATGAACATTCTATTAAGCATACTGGAAGAACGTTTGTTCATAACTTTGAGAGTACCTTCCCAGAATATTTCCTAGAACCCTGTTGAAAAAAACAGCATATGCTGGTTAGGTATGTTTTGACGCTGGGATGCTGGTCCTTTGCTGGTTTATGCTGGTCTTTTGCTGGTTTATGCTGGTCTTTTGCTGGTTTATGCTGGTCTTTTGCTGGTTTATGCTGGTCTTTTGCTGGTTTATGCTGGTCTTTTGCTGGTTTATGCTGGTCTTTTGCTGGTTTATGCTGGTCTTTTGCTGGTTTATGCTGGTCATGTGCTGGCAAAGGACCAGCATCCCAGCGTCAAAACATACCTAACCAGCATATGCTGGTTTTTTCAACAGGGAGAATGTTCCATTAGCTGGGCACACAGAGCTTGAGATGGAAACATCACCATCTCTGTAACTTTCATTGTTGATGAAGGCTTTTCCAACTGTATTTCGAACATGGAACTTTTCCTTATCGAGCTGCTCCACCAGCACAGAAGCAGACTTCAACTTCAGTAGGTTCCTTTTCCCAATTCAAAAACTGCTGTAAAAAAAAAAAAAACATCTTCAACTTTTTTCACATCTGTTTATCTGCGTTCCGGTGATTCTGAGGTGCTGTCGGGTCTTTTGGATTTAATTAAAGTCGTTTTTATATCGAGTTCATGCATGCAGCTTAATGCTGAGTTGTTATGCATCAATTTCAAATGTTTCTGATGGTGATGTACTGTGGACGGGGGACTCTGGGTAAGGAGTGTACACCACATAAACGATCTAAAATAGATGTTTTTAGGCCTTAAAACATGTTCTTCCTGTACTAAGATGGTAACGTATTGATCAGAACAGAACAGACAGTCTATAGAGTCAGGGACTCGCGTCTGTCTGCTACAGCTGTCTGGATCACGTCTAATGCAGCAGAACAAAAGAATGATGAAAGGCCAAGAAGATGTACTGAATTTCTCCTGAAACCCTTGCGGTCGGCTGGACAAAAGCACCATAACTCATAAATACATCTACATGGACTATACGTTAGTTTCGCTTAACATGAAAAGAACTGAAAATTTTATGATTTTTGAGTTTACTGTCTGTAAGCTATGGTTTTTTACATGATTTTTATAGATTACATTGCATGAATATCTTTATCACAAATACTGTATATTTGAATATGTACATTAAATTTAAAATGTATATAAAACAGAGCAGGTCTGAGTGTGTGCATTTACTTTGGAATGTCTAAATTCTTAAAATACGCCATTAGTTAGTTTTCTCCTATATTGAAAAGAAACAGGCAAACGTCTAATTATCCTGCATTTTGTTTGTCATGAGCAGCCTGACAGTCTTGCTGATGTGGAAAGGTTGTCACATTATGGTGTAATAATGCTAATGCTTTTGAAAGGCTTGGAAAGTGATATTAGTAGAAATGAGCATCAGGGGAAAGATTTTCTTGTGACTGCATGCAATTTTAAACTGCAATATTTGAATAATTGACATCAAACATTTCAAAGTCTTTATTTCTCTTTCCCTTACAAACATTTTCTATCATCTTCCTAAAATTTATCTTTGGCTGGCAAATTGTAGCTTTCCACTCTACTCTAGACCACTGAAGTACTATATGCAACTTTTTTTCATAAAATGTCCCAAAGCACTTTTATAATATTGTACAATTACTAAATTAGATGTTAAAGTGCATGTCATGGGACCTGCCACTACTCTGGGCAGTGTTAATTGTAAACACTAGATGGCGACATTGTGCCATCTTCAGTGAACAGCTAACACTTAAGACACAGCTGTTGTAGTGCAAGATCATTATTTATTAATTATTATTAATAAATGTCTCAAAAACGAGGCTGAAAACCCACCTAAAGATTGTTTTTTGTCCCCAAATACATTATTACAAAACTAGATTTTCTTTTAATTGGATATTGATGCAGCAGCATAATTTGTAAAGACATGGTAAAGTAAGTTTGATTTCAAATGGTTTGAATAAAAAGTGTTTATATAAAGCAAATGACCCACATTTGGGGCTGCAGTGGAGACTACCATAGAAATATTGTGAGTCTACAATAAAGTGAGTTGTTCACGTTTGCAAATACCTTTAATGAAGCAAAACTTTTTTTTTTGGTCTAACATTGAAATATGATTTTGGTGGGGTTATTTACCCTATGTATCAGATAAAATGTTATTAAAGGAGGACAAAAGTATGAAAACAGTAACACAAAAATAAATCAGGAGACCATTTAATAAATTCTGTTTTTTAATATTCATTTGCTTTGAAAAATATACATTCTAAAATAATTTCAGCTGTTTTGTTCTAAAAAGTCACAAAACTTGATTAAAAATGTATCATTGTTACACACTCTACAATTAACATTTAGCATTGTTTAAACGTTCAAGAATTTCCCCAGACATGCTTTCACAATATATTTCATCTTTAGGTACCCCCAAAAATATAAGTTAAAAAAACGTGTACTTACAAGGTTAAAAGTTGATTTTGAAAATATTTTATACTACAATTTGTATTCTTTTGTTTTGTTTTTTGAAAGCAAGAGGAAAAATAATTACAAATTAGCAGGAATCAACAAAGGACACCGAGTTCTTGAAGGATCAAAGAGAACATGTTTAGGACATGCACTTTTTTTGTCACATGTTTTGTGACATGTGACACTCAGCACAAATGTCATCTTCATTCAAATGTATGTACCACACTGTTGACATTTTCTGACATTTTTTACAAATGACACAACTTGCAATATGACATCCATAAAATAAAGCACAATTAAAAAAGTGATCTGAATTACACGAGACAACCTTAAACCTAAAGAAATTTCACATATTATTGCAATTCAGGTTTAAGCCACTTAGGTAAATCATTTGAAGGACAACAGACCCTCGAGTACATGTAGGTTATACACGTAGACTTTTATTCTTTTAGACTTTTTCCATAAGCAGGTAACAAAGCAAATGCCTAACCAGACTTGAAACGCAAAATGAATTATTAGGCTTTCTTAATTAATCAAGCTTATTAGAACGTGTTTGGATAATTAGGCATAAATATTGTTCGTAAAACGAAACAAATTACATTTAAAACCACACTATATTAAATGAAACAATATGAAAAACAGCAGGTTCAATTCCAATCATTAACATTAACCATCATTAAAAAGTTAATCAAGTTAAATATTATAATATATTGTCACAGTTGTTCTCTCTCTTCATAACTGAAGTCATTTGCTGAATAGTTTGCTCAAGATGTACATTAAAAAAAAGATCAACATTAAGATCTCATGCTGTGCAAATAAAAAAAATGAAAAAGTTAATTCTTTTTTACATAATGCCTACCATGTAAAGCAGAGGTAGAGGAGCAAAAAAATAAAGGAAAAGGAAAATAGTGTCAAGTTAAGTGAAGATTCATATTGTATTGGATGAATAATGGTAGTTGTGGAACTGTGTAAAAACAGCTACAGCATTTCTTTACAGCTCAGCACATACAGTAAGTGAAATATTGAACTGAATTGCATAGTAGTTTAGGAATTACAACTTGCAAACCGTAGTGATTAAGTGAGTGGAAGACAAGCATTCCTCAAGCTGTTATTTAGTCTTCACAGAATGGATCCATGATGGGGAACAGTCTTTACAAAATATCCCTTGGCAAATGGCTTTCTGCAAATCGCAAGAGCTAATAAAATCTATGTAGCTGATTGGTTGGAGGAGTTATATGGACGTCTCAGACCCTCGACTCCTCCAGTAGCAGCCATTGTTGTCATCTGGGTCCATATCTAT